CAGACGACCCCTCATTCCCATCAAGTTCGACAGCGCTGCGGAAGCGGCCGGTCTCTCCGACGAGGAGCGGGCGCAAGCCGCTCGGCAGCTGGCKGCAGAAATCCCCACCGACAAGGAAGGATTATGGAAGTGGGATGTCAAGTGGGAGTTTGTGGATGAGACTGTTTTGCGAGAACAGCTCAAGCCTTTTGTTGAGAAGAAGATCGTGGAGTACCTCGGAGTGCAGGAGCAGATGTTGGTGGACGTGGTGGAAGAGCATGTCCGGAAACACGGACAACCTCAGGAGCTTGTGGAACAGCTGGAGGAGGTGAGATTCCCCGATACGAATTATGATCCCACAGCAGAAGCTAACCCGATTGTCTACAGGCACTCGACGAAGAGGCGGAGGTACTGGTCCGCAAGTTGTGGCGAATGATTATTTTCTTCTCGGAAAGCGAAAAGAGAGGTCTTTCAGCATGATTGATACTGTATCTGATAGGGAGGAGATTCGATAGGGCTAGCAGTATTTGGGCTGATAGGTGCTTCTAATTTGATATCCACCTCGACATGGGGTACAGTCCTTCTGAATAGCTCTTGGGTCCCCTTACTGCCCATCCCTCATCTCCATATTTGAAACTCACTCAACTTAAGCCTGGCTTGAGATATCTTTATGCTCTCACGCATGTAGTCACCTCGTTAGTGCTCCAACGTCGCATTGGAAAAGCTACGCCAATCACATTTCTTACTCGTCTTTCATCTGTCTGATACCGTAGTTTAATCGTATCCCTCAGGTGATCCGAAACTGAAACCGCAGAAATTGCCAACAGACTCGTGACCTTGTAGATACTATCTACGTAGGTACAAGCTTACTGTATTCAGGAACCGTTTCATCGTCCTATACAGAAAATAAAATACGCGGAGGCGGCCCGATGGTCATGGGCAATTATATCATTGGCGGATAAACACAGACCACAGCTTAGGACAATTCCTCCGCCAATGGCACTGCAGTCCCACGCACCCCGGAGCAATCCAGACGCAGCAGACAGTGTAATTGTTCCGCAGTGCAGTTATGGATTGCTTGATTTAGCCTGAGGGGGGACCGCCGAGGGCCGTATATCTGGCGTGTCTGCCCCCATGTCTTGGAGGGGTAATTAAGAATCTTTTCTCTTGTTCTTGCTCTCTCTCTGCCTCTTTCTCTCTCTCTCAATCTCTCGCAGCCGGGATTGAGATCTCTTTGGTTCCTTGAGGTATACCGAGTGACTTTGGTGTACTGAATTGGTTATATTGTTATCCCCCCGCATTTCAGAGGTCAGTTTTGTCGCGGCGTCGTTTGCTCAATTGCCATGCGCGTGACGAGGTGAAGTCGCTGGTTGATTTGGGATTGACGTTGAACTTCCTCTAGACTACTTTCTAACGCGAGTGTTGAGCCGACGTCATGGTTAAGATCACTGGCTTCAGCACCCGGGATGTGAGGTTTCCTGTAAGTTGCGCCGCCCCATATGGACAGACCCCGTGTCAATTGGCTAAGAAAGAGTGAATTAGACCTCCCTCGACAAGACTGGCTCCGATGCCATGAACGCTGCGGGTGATTACTCGGCGGCGTACTGTATCATCAACACAGACTCGTCATACGCTGGTCATGGCATGGTACGCATCAAGCCCGTGGTGTTTCTACAAACTACGAGCAGAGAAAGAAGCTAATTGAGACCGCGACAGACCTTCACCATTGGCCGTGGAAACGAGATCGTCTGCGCTGCCATCACCCTTCTGGCTCCCCTGGTGGTCGGCAAGGACCTCGACGAGCTGACCGCCGACTGGGGCAAGACATGGCGCTATCTGGTATCCGACAGCCAGCTGCGCTGGATCGGACCCGAGAAGGGTGTTATCCACCTTGCCCTGGGAGCCGTGGTCAACGCTCTCTGGGATCTGTGGGCCAAGACTCTCAACAAGCCCGTCTGGCGCATTGTCGCGGACATGACTCCCGAGGAGTTTGTCCGCTGCATTGACTTCCGCTACATCACAGATGCCATCACCCCCGAGGAGGCCATTGCTCTCCTTAAGGAGGTCGAGCCCACCAAGCAGGAGCGTATCAAGGAGGCCGAGCAGAGCCGGGCCGTGCCCGCCTACACCACCAGTGCCGGGTGGCTCGGTTACAGCGAGGATAAGCTGCGCGCGTTGCTGAAGGACAGTGTCGCCCAAGGCTACAAGCACTTCAAGCTCAAGGTCGGCGCCAACGTAGAGGAGGACCGTCGCAGATTGGCCATCGCTCGTGAGGCGATTGGTTACGACCGGGGTAACATCCTGATGGTCGATGCCAACCAGGTACGAACCCGCACTTCCTTTTCCGGATTTAATCCACTGAACTAACGCTTCCCTTTCTCCAGGTCTGGTCCGTCCCCGAAGCCATCGAATGGATGCACCAACTTGCCGAGTTCAAGCCCTGGTTCATCGAAGAGCCCACCTCCCCCGATGACATCCTCGGCCACGCCGCCATCAAGAAGGCCCTCGAGAACACCCCGTACGGCACCATCGGTGTCGCCACCGGCGAGATGTGCCAGAACCGCGTCGTCTTCAAGCAGCTCCTGCAGGCGGGAGCGCTGACCGTCCTCCAGGCCGACGCCTGCCGTGTCGGCGGTGTCAACGAGGTCCTGGCCATCCTGCTGCTGGCCCGCAAGTTCGGCGTCCCCATCGTCCCTCACTCCGGTGGTGTCGGTCTGCCCGAGTACACCCAGCATCTGAGCACCATCGACTACGTCGTCGTCAGCGGCAAGAAGAGCGTGCTGGAGTATGTAGACCACTTGCACGAGCACTTTGTGCACCCTTCTAGCGTCAAGGATGGATACTATGTCACTCCCATGGAGCCTGGATATAGTGTGGAGATGAAGCCCGAGAGCATGGATGCGTTTGCTTTCCCCGGCGAGGAGGGCAAGAGTTGGTGGCGGACAGAAGCTGCCAAGACTATCTTGGAAGGTCCTCGGATATAGGCTGCTGAAAGAGAAAAATATTATAGATTATGTGTTATGAGAGATAATGTGTTGTTATTCGAATGCGAGTATGAATGTTTCAATGCATGCTTCAGGATTTCCACTGTATTGCATGTGGTCTCGTAAATTGAGCGCTTTAGAAGGCCCGAGACGCGACTGCCCTTCCCATGCGTCAAATATCTATAATACAAGTTTTATACATGAACCAAATGTTTGGTCTTTAAGCTGGTGTTCAGTGTGAGCACTGATCGTGGTTCAAACCGACTTTGGTCTAAGAGAAACCTGGTCGGTTCGGGAGGAGCAGAACCATTTGAGCCCTAGCAGATAGCTAGTAACGTCCATTCATGACGGTTCCGGCGGTCTAAGCTCCCATGTACGGCCGTAATGGAGTCATGGGGCCATTCGTTGGCCGATCAGACGTATGCTGACCGGAAGGACACAATCGCATAGGCGCAATTTCATGAGCAGCTATCGCCACTGAATGCCAAAGATCTTCAGCGCCTTGGCAACGCCGGGCTTTTCTTGGGCTTGCTCTAGGATGATCCGCGAATGTCCTTGAAGAAAGTCAATACGACAAAGGTCTTGGAACACATCGGGACGACCAACCTTTGACATCCAACGCGAGAAGCAGATACTCCCATTCGTCCTTGTCCAAGGGTTTCATCATATGCACAATCACGATTCCGGAGTTGAGAGGTCCTTCAACCTAAAAGGGATTAGCATTTCTCCAGTGTATCGAAGGTGAGACAAAAGTACGTGAAAATGCATCTTCATGTGCTCGCGACCCTGCCGATCCTTGAAGGTTGAAGTCCTGAGCCGTTATCATCAGTTTCCGAGGTCAAAAGAGCGCAACGGCGACATTCTTACGCAATAGGTCTATTCCGCTCCCATCGGCTCCCGGTGCTCTCCCCGTACGCCTTGATCTCTCTTCGATCTCCTAGTAGATCCGTGCACCGCGTATCGTCCTTGATGCGTTGGACAGCCTTCTCGAACTGCCATGTCCTGCTGTTGGGCGAAAAGACCTCTGTATAGAGCAGGTAGAAAACTCCACCCTAGCTGCTGTCAGACCAGTTGGCTACCACTGGAGATTCTCCATGAGCGGAGGGACCAGGGCCGAATATCATCTCACCGTCAAAACCGCCCCGGCTATTATGACGAGAAAGTTGATCGACTGCTGCGTCGCCCGCGCAACCTTTTCCCTCCCATTCAGTTCTCCCCACTCATATCGCCCATCATCGGATAGTACTGTGACATTTCTCCGCCTCGGGGTCGCCTTGGGACCTGAACCCCCGCCGAGATCGCTATGTGTTGCGTAAAACCGTGTCAAAGTCGTCATGCGGGGAAACGCTGGGCGCAGTAGGAGGGCGGCCGAGGCCTTAGGGATTGAAGTACTTGGGAGGAGATGATGGCTCATCATGACTGTGTATCGGGGAGTGGGTGACTATTCATCAGAATACACGGTCCCAGTTCAACGTCAAAGTCCGAAATTGTATTATCATCTGCTCGAATCCGGCAAATCCATCCAAGTATTGCACGCGATGATCGAAACTCGGCCATGTGGGGACGGGCCCTGGATTGCAGTGGGTCACGTGGGAAGTCTTGTTCCGACATCTGTTCGAAACTTTCAGGAACGGGTTTGTGCTGTAATTGCAATACAAGTTGGACTACCTGAATTGTTTACATGACTACAGCTTCTGGCCTCGATTTCATCTTGGAGAGAGTTGATAAGTACTTGGTAGACTGTATGACCTTGGGCTATTCATTCTTCATGTCCTATTGTGTTCAATTTTGTGTTAAACCCCTTTGTTTGTTGCAGCTCTCGCCAAAATCTCATCTCGTCGCCCAAAGTGGCAACTCGTTCGAGAAGCTGAAAATTACTTGGTTGCCGTGCAAATCGTCAAAGGAGACGCTCCGACCACGTTCGCCGCATTTTGGATCTCTCCCTCTCCTTCGGACATCTGGACTTTCCGTTCAACTCGCTCGAGGCACGCTTCCTCTCGGCTTCATTCCTACATTTTGATTTAGACTGCAGTCACAATGAGTGCTACAAAAGCGCAGTCTCAAAAGATTTTTGAGAAGCTCAAGTTGAAGCCCGCAAACAAGGTGTGTATTGCCCCTCCTTAACTCGCCTATTGCCATGCTAATCTGCGTCTTAATAGATATGCTTCGACTGCGGCTCCAAGAACCCGACATGGTCGTCAGTGCCTTTCGGTATCTACTTGTGTCTTGACTGCTCAGCCCATCACCGCAATCTTGGTGTCCATATCTCGTTTGTTCGTTCCACGAACCTCGACCGTATGCAACCCCTCCTGCCACCGCCTCTATCTCCTGTCTTGAGGACTAACTAGTTGTATACAGAATGGCAATGGGAGCAGCTTCGGATTATGAAGGTCGGCGGAAACGAATCAGCCACTAAGTATTTCCAATCGCATGGAGGATCCGCGGCTTTAGCTAGCAAGGACGTCAAGGTCAAATACACCTGCAACGCTGCTGTCAAGTACAAGGAGGAGTTGAAAAGACGGGCTGCGCAGGATGCTCAACAGTTCGTCATTCACTGATTCTCGACTCTATCAGACACAAAGACGCTGATTTGGTCTCATTCAGATACCCCGAGGAGGTTGTGATCACGGACGTTCCCGCTGGCACTGCTTCGGACGGATCGAGTACCCCTGCGGGTGACGCGGACGACGATTTCTTTTCTTCATGGGATAAGCCTTCTATTAAGCGACCCAGCAACCCACCTTCGCGCACAGGTACCCCACCAGTGGTGAGCCGGACTGCATCACCCTTCCTGAACGCCGGTGCCAATGGCAATGGTGCTCGCTCGAAATCGCCTCTTTCAGCATCGGACAAGGAGGCTACTTCGCCTGCTCCGACCGCTATCCGAGCAAGCGCTTCTGTCCGGAAGGCTTCGTCTACAACTACCGCGAAGAAGGGCAGTGTTCTAGGCGCCAAGAAAGCGCCTAAGCTGGGTGCTAAGAAGATTGGCGGAGCAGAAGCTATCGATTTTGAGGAGGCAGAGCGAAAGGCCAAAGAGGAGGCAGAGCGCATTGAGAAACTCGGATACGACGCCGAAGCAGAACAAGCCGAGGCCGATGCCAAAGCCAAGACTTCCACTGCTGCCACCGCTATCGCTTCTCCCACTCCAATCAGCCCAAGAGCAGGTGGCTTCGGGTCCGCGAGCAAATCTCATGAACGAAGCGCCAGTGAAGTGGAGCGCCTCGGAATGGGTATGGGAAGACTGGGATTCGGCCAGACTGTTGGCGCAAAGCCTGCTGCTCCCAAGAAGCTGGGATTCGGCTCTGTTGCTCCTGTCAGGAGCGCTGAAGATGGTTCGTTCTATTTCCGTGATCTCTGGACCAGGTCAATTGTATTCTAACCAAGCATCAGAGGAGGAACTTGAGCGCACTAGATCCAGGTTCGGTAGTCAGAAGGGTATCTCGTCGGACGAGTTCTTCGGACGGGATCGCTTCGACCCTAATGCGCAGGCTGAAGCTAAAGAGCGACTCCGCCAGTTTGACGGGGCAACCGCCATCTCAAGCAATGCTTACTTTGGTCGTCCGGAAGATGATTTGACTGGTGATGACACTTACGGCGATCTTGAGAGTGCAGCCAAGGATTTCGTACGCCGTTTCGGTATCACGGCTGGTGATGATCTCGAAAACTTGACACAGCTTGTAGGTGAAGGTGCTGTTAAATTGCAGGGTAAGTATCCTTGTTTTGGACTCTMGGCTTTTAGGATCCCGTCCTCTGACTAACGGCTCAAACAGGAGCTATCCGCAGCTATCTCAACAGCTAGATGCTATAATTCGATTTGTCGATGTTTCATTCTCGTCAGTAAAAGCAAGCTGCGCACCATGCTTGTTTATACTTCATTCCCAGCAAGCCTTTTTGTTCATTCAAATAGTGTCCTCCCCATAGTATCTATTCACTCATCAATATATCCTTCTTTAGATTGTCAAAATCATCCCCGGTGCAAGCACCCTGAATTCTGAGAAACCTATCTGCTCTCAGACTTGTCTTCTGATCATAACCCTAGCGATGGTGTTGGGTTCTTCTATGTCGAACAGCCTCTTCATGAATTAGATAATCTTGTCGAGGCTTAGATCTGTCTATGTCTTGGGCTAAAATAGAACTTGGATATGACCAAGTCTGATAGAGACTAAAGCCTGATACGGCCTGGCATCGTTACAGCACGTGTCATCGACTGAGTTACTTCTTCCCGTCCAGTAGCATGTACAAAGTGTACTATTCTGAAATAGCGGTCTATTTACTTTTTTCACAAGGCAGCTGAACACTCATAAACTGCTCATGAAACTGCTCAATATTATACACGGTATATAGCATCAGCCACCTTGGCAACCTGCCACATCTCCCTGACATCGTGCACGCGCACGATATCCGCTCCCCCGGCAATGCTGGCGGTGACAGTAGCCGCGGTGCCCCAAGTGCGCTCGCTCGCCTTCTCCACGCCCGTGAGCCGACCAATGAATCTCTTTCGGCTGGGGCCCATCAACCAGGGGAAGTACTCTAGCCCTTCGATACCGGTGCGGAACTGCTGCAGATCGCGCAGGATGGCCAGATCATGGGGCATATTCTTGGCGAAGCCGAGGCCCGGGTCGAGAATGATGCGCCAGCGCCGGATGCCGGCTGCTTCGGCGGCGGCGACGCGCGCGCGGAGCTCGGCGCCGACGTCCTGGACGATGCCGTTCGGGTAGTCTGTTAGCTTGGTCATTGTGGAGGGGGTGCCGCGCATGTGCATCAGGATGACGGCTTTGCCGGTGCGGGCCATGGTGGGGAGCATCTCCGGGTCGAGGGTGCCGGCGGAGACGTCGTTGATGATGTCTGCGCCGGCGGCGCAGGCCTCCTCGGCCACTTTGGCGCGGTAGGTGTCGATGCTGATGGCGACGTTGTTGGCTTCGGGGATCGAGGTGCGGATGTGTCGTATTATCGGGATGACTCGGGCTAGCTCTTCGGCCTCGCCGACTGGGGTTGACCCCGGGCGGGTACTCTCGCCGCCGATGTCGATGATGGTTGCGCCGGCTTTGATGAAGCTGCAGACAGTCTCGGTGAGGGCGCGGAGGTCCAGCGAGAAATGCTTGCCGCCGTCGGAGAAAGAATCAGGGGTCACGTTGAGGATGGCCATGATGTGAGTTGGACGTTTGGGGTCTGTAGAGCGCAGTGGTGGAAAATGCGGGGATATGTGAGTGGTGGCCACTGGCACTGGTTCTGGAGGCGGAAGTGACTTCAAGTAGGATAGATAGCTCTTATTCCGGCCGGAAATAGGTGGTAATTCATGAGGAATAAGCCTATTCGTTGTCCATGAGTCTTGGATGCTGTGGCAAGCTGTGTTCGTTCGTCGCAATACTCACTGGCAAAGGGGTCGGAGGACAAAATCCCGTTCCAGCATCAACTTGTGCGGGATATTGAGGCGCTCGTGGCAGAACACTTCTTGATCGTAGAGTAGAATATCCAGATCAATGGACCGCGGGCCTTTATCAATAATTTTCTTTCGCCCTAGAGCCAGCTCAATTGATTGTAGTGTGTCCAACAATTCGAGAGGCCCCAAGCTGGTTTCCACCTGTCAAAGACAGTCAATAGATGGCCCCAACGCATGCTTGGATTAACTGACCTCACAGACGCCATTCATGAAAGGGTCTTGATCAAGAACATACATCGGCGCAGTCTCAAAAAGGGAGCTCGTTCTCCTGACCCTGATATGAGCCCTTTCCATCTCCTTGCAAGCTTTTTCAATCATTTCAACCCGCTCACCCACATTGCTCCCGAGGGCAATGTAGGCCCGGTGCATAGGAGGACTATCTGGGTTCATCCCGGCGTTAAATGCATTCCTATGAGCGGTAGAGAAACTTCGGTGTTGAGACGCCAGTTTTAAAGACACATTCTTGATGTTCTCGGGTTTCAAGTTAGGCAAGATTCGCTTATGAAGATAGCTAGGTGTCGGCAGCCCTAGAAAACGGATATTAGCCTCAAAAGCTACACCGGAAGGACCAGAGGCCGCAAAGGACTCCCAGTCACAATACTGAGTGAGCGTGGACAGTTCACGGCCTTATATCTCTCAGATACATACTTGAATTGGAAGAAAATTGAAATCTATGGTTTAGGAAGTTAGACTATATTGGTACAGCATAATAAATACTCGGAGGAAACAGAAAACCTGCCTCTGCGTCTGACTGTGATGGTATCTTATGCGGCCTGGCATACAAACTTTCCCCGATGATTCATTCGATGTTTGTGGTAGACTGCACAGCAACAGGCGCACACCGGAAGACTGCCGCAGAGATGAGCTACAAGCAGCGGACCTTAGCGATACAGCATTAGAATGCCAGCTAAGAGCCGAGCAATGTCTCATGGTGTCTGGCCAAAACACCACAAGATGCCGCTGCGTTACGATGCTCGAGTACCTGAAGAATCATACGTCACGAACGGTGAAATCGCAACTGCTCAGCTTCAGAAAGTCACGTGAAAGCTGTCCGGATTCGCCTGAAGCCGTAATGCCTGAAATATAAGGCATGATGAGTACACACGGTGTCAACCCCACCCACTTAGTCAGCGGCAGGCTTGGCTTCGGCATTAGAGCGCATATGCTCGGGCACAGAGAGAGGAGACAGGGCGTCCTGTTCAGCCGAGGCTCGTGCTGGTCATGCTATGCTTCTCCTCTCCTCGGTTCCCCGGCTTAGCCTTGCTCTTCTCCAGATTCTCCTTATTATTATTAGAGTTGCGCCGTTGGTATCCTCCACTTTCTCCAGATCATCTTCTCTTTGTCTATCATCTTTGATTCCTATATTTGTATTCCATTGTTTCCTCCCGCATCCGAGCCCACCTGTCCCCATCTCCAACCATGGCTTCTCCTCGTAAGCTTCACTGCCCTTAGATCAGCCCACATCGTGATTGAACTATTCGACATTGGAAAATTACGTCGCTATGGCTTTCAAAGAATTTCGTGCTAACACGTTGCGTTCTTCATAGAGCAAATCCGTACTACCCTCACCGATCTGCTCAAGATCAATCATCCCGTCCTGCTGGCGGGCATGAACGTGGCCGCTGGTCCCAAGTTGGCCGCCGCTGTCACCAATGCTGGTGGCCTGGGTGTTATTGGTGGTGTCGGCTACACACCTGAAATGCTGCGTGAACAGATTGCAGAGCTGAAGAGCTTCCTGCACGACAAGAACGCACCTTTCGGTGTTGACCTTCTGCTCCCTCAGGTTGGAGGAAGCGCTCGCAAGACCAAGTCAGAACTCCTCCCTTTGCATACATAATTTTCATATTGGGACTCAGGATGCTGACGCAGCTTTATCTAGCTACGACTACACCAAGGGCAAGCTTAACGAGCTGGTCGATATCATCATTCAGGAAGGCGCCAAGCTCTTCGTATCCGCTGTCGGTGTCCCTCCCAAGCACGTTGTGGACAGACTTCACTCCGCTGGCATCCTTTACATGAACATGATTGGTCACCCCAAGCACGTTCAGAAGGCCCTTGATGCTGGTGCCGACATCATCTGCGCTCAGGGTGGTGAGGGTGGTGGTCACACGGGTGATGTGCCTACCACCATCCTCATCCCTACTGTTGCCAAGCTGTGCCAGGGCAAGAAGAGCCCTATGACTGGCCAGCCTGTGCAGGTCGTTGCTGCTGGTGGTCTGTTCAATGGAAACTCCCTCGCCGCTGCTCTGATGCTGGGTGCCTCCGGTGTCTGGATTGGTACCCGCTTTATCCTCGCTGACGAGGCCGGTGCTCCTGCTGCTCACCAGGAGGCTGTGCGCACCGCCGGTTTTGAGGACAACGTTCGCACCATCATCTTCACTGTAAGTTCACATGCTGAATGCAGGTCTGGATATGGCCAAGCTAATATGTACCAGGGTCGTCCCATGCGTGTCCGTAACAATGCATACATTCAGAACTGGGAGGAGAACCGCCGAGAGGAGATGAAGGAGCTTACATCCAAAGGAATCATCCCTGTCGAGCACGATTTCGAGAATCTCGGCGACGACGTTGATGACGACACTCTGGACAACGCTCGCCCATGGCTGATGGGTAAGGTTTCCGCTGTGGTTTCGGAGAAGAAGCCCGCCAAGGCTATCGTCGATGAGATCGTCTCGGACGCTGCTGCTCTCCTGAAGATTGGTAACAGGATGGTTGCCAAGCTGTAGATTCATTTCATTTTCTCGTATATAGCACGCTATACCTCATGACGTTTTGTGTATGGATGACGTCCGGCTCATAGATTCGTGGGCGTGGTGATCGATTCTGCATTGACTACCCAAAATTGGAGCGATTATTTTCAAGCTTATTACCTGAAGCGTATTGGGATCCTGGAAATTGGGACCTATGGAAAGTAGAAGATCCTCGAAGACAAGTAAGATAGATTCTAGCATTAGCCCACGTAGCGGGCAGATCGTATGAGGCAATGTCCCTCGAGGAGTCCACTCTGGAGTGCTTTGTAATCTGTACTCAGCCCTAATACTCAGTGTCACCATCCCCGCCTCCAGCATAGGCGAGCCGTGTATGCATACCAAAATTAGGTAGAAAACCTATGGCTCCACCGTAGTAGAAGTTCCAAATGCTCAGTCAGAAGTTACGAGTCAGTTATCGGCCACAGCAACACCTCAATCACTTTATTAGAATCCAGCAGAAGATCAAGGCATGTGTCTAAATCTACACCGTCACTTGCTTGACGAAACCAGACAAGCCACGAAGTAAGGTGGATACCTTACAGTAAAGTGCACAACTGCATAAGCAAACGCTGGTAAAAGTGCATTGTTTTGATACATKCCGAATTMCGA